TAAACCACAACAGTCAAAAACGCACTGGTTACTTTTGTCAACTTGAGATGAAAAAAATGCTGAGGAACAGGTGAACTAAGGAAGTAAGTTCTGCATTTAGCACTAAAAGCCAAGGGAGTTTGTGGTCACTCCCTTCCTGTGGTAAAATAAAGGCCAAAAGACGCAGCCCTAACTTCATTGGACTCATGTTTTTATTGTAAATGAAGTTGTAATGATGGCTGCAACTACTATTATTAATGCACTGGCAAAATTCTTGAAAGAAAGGAAGAATGAAGGCTTTGTATTGGCAGCATTGTGCTCAGCTTGTTGCTTGTGACTGCAGAGCATAAGAGGCTATTGGAGAGCATCTCTGCGAGATAATACTGTAGCTCATCACATTGAGAGCTGTGAAGTGACCACAGCCTGGGGTAGCTCCACAAAGTCTGACTTTGTGGCTCAGGAGCGGGGCTGTCTCTTGCTTGCGAGAACTGTTCCTGCCAGATCCAAGCAGTGAATCTTTTCTGTCAACAGTCCCAAGTTTCCCTCCTCCCTGTTTATGTCATCCAAGAGCTACAGAAAAGTGTTGCAGCAGCAATTTCAGGCTATTTCCACAAGTCCCCTCTTCAATCTCCAGTAGTGGTGGAGGTTAAGCAGTGATGCCATCGTGCTGTAAGGAGATATACTTCCCCTCCATGTCTTTCAGTGGCATCTGAGAAACATGTATGCTGTGTACACCAAAAGTCATCTCAAGGAACCAACTTAAAACTACAGGTGAATTGAATGTCTAGCAGAAAAACAGGGTGAGAACTCACCATGGCTGGTGAGTAACAACAACATCTGCTACAGACTGCAGAAGGAGGTTGTTTCAATCACCTCACTTTGTTTAATCTATTTGGAAAAAGTTTTGGGATCCGTATGCTTGAAAGGCGTTACATGCAAACAAGATCATTAGATATCTTCTGACCATTATTTCACATCCATTTTCTTCACTTCTGCTATACCTACATACTACACTCCTCTCCTCAGCATTGCACTGGTTCCAGGGTCTCATGCTTACACCTGTGACTCCCTTTTGCCATCTTCTCTTCCTAGGGCATCAACAGTTTCATTCTATAATCTTCAAATGACTTGGAAGACTGCATCTATTGATTCACTCTTGTAGAAATCATAAAAGGTCTCCTTCCTATTTTTAGTGTGTAAGCTTAAAAAGCTTACTTACCAAAGCAGAATGTTTCTCCTAGTGGCTACAAGGTCTTGACTATTGTCTATGGACAACCTGACCCCAACATGAATGAAAATAAAAGCAAAGATAATGAGAAACAAACAGAAAGCAATAAAGACTTACCTGCCATGGTGACAGACCTTCCTACTGTACTTCCAGAAGTTTTATTTCTGACATATTCTTCACGTAAAACATATTTTGAAAAACAATTGGCAAGAAGGCGGCTGGGAGCACAAAACCACTGCTGGTAGATTTGGTAGGCTTCAGTGGCCGAATGTTAATAAATGTTATTTTTCAGCAATGACCTATTAGGGGGGCAGCTTTCTAGATGAGACTGAAAGACCTTCGTCCAAAAGCAATAAACTCTCAAGGTGGAAGACGTAACAGATAATTAATATTTTAGAAGCACAAACAATTTTGTGGGTAACTCAGCTTTACTGACCTAGATTTCAATCCTGGATCTAATAAACCAGGATTTTTTACATCTACCTACACACAGGTGCTTTGCACAGCAGAGCAGCTTTCTAGATGAGACTGAAAGACCTTCGTCCAAAAGCAATAAACTCTCAAGGTGGAAGACGTAACAGATAATTAATATTTTAGAAGCACAAACAATTTTGTGGGTAACTCAGCTTTACTGACCTAGATTTCAATCCTGGATCTAATAAACCAGGATTTTTTACATCTACCTACACACAGGTGCTTTGCACAGCAGAGGTTTTTAGGGAACAGCAGCTGTACGCACACAAGGGAACGTATTTTTGACAGCACTCTAAGAGCATCATATAAGCAGAGCAGTACTTCTGCTCTGAATTTTCTTACCATCTTTGATTTCATCAGGGTCATAAGCCCCTTGCACTGTGCTCTCCCGTAGCCAAATTGGTCTCTCTCTGGCCGGCTTTCCTTCGCTTGCAGACCGGTTAAGATCCTCCTGGTCCTCCATGCTGATGACAACGTTCTGGGTATACAAGTCCTCATACGATGGTCCTTTTGTAGTCCATGCTTCCCGATGGTGTCCACCTGCAAGGCCAGCTGCTGCCCCTGAACCAGTACCAGCTGCACGCTCCTTGCTACGTAAAAGTCAAAGAGATAAAACCAGAGCACTCAGAACAAGCCTTTCCTCAGCCAGCATTGCAACACTTAAACTATGATTAGTTATCTCCCACGATCTGCACCGAGAACTTGCATTCTGATTTCTAACACGTAGTGCCAGGAATTTCTACACCAGCTTGCTGGTTTGGGGAACTTGGGGGTCTCTAATGGGAAACCCTACATGAGGCCATGGCAACTTCCACAACAGACACTGAAAAGAAGAGACAGCACTAAAGCTGCTGATGCACTCATGTAAAAACAAACATAAAATCCCAGAATACCCTGAAGTAAGTGTCACAGCAGTAAAACATAGTTGAACAGTAATCTAGTATTTGGAAAAGTCTCTTTTTGGCCTTTTCACAGCAACCCTATACTGCATAAAAAAAAGCACTGAACAAGTCAGATGATAGGCCCAGAGACCCAGCATGCTCAGATCTGTGAACCATTATTAATCCTAGGACTCGTGAAGGAGTTAACTCACCATGAAAAACACAGTTCAAACCTTTGCTTGAATTGTGCGTGACAATGCGCCCATGGTAAGTCACATCTATGTTACACAGGAGATCTGTACTATCCACAGACACAGCCTTGGGAGAACTGAGGAGTCCAGGCAGAAGAGAAGAAAAGATGAGCGGGCACTTTCAAACCAGAGGACTAGGGCTGGGCAAAGGACTTTGTGTGGTGATGGTGTGTGAGAGGAGGCAAGACAGAACTGTCTTCATCGTGGAAAAGCTGGAGAAAGAAAGGCGATGGCTGATGTGAAGGGTACCGCAGTCAAAGCCTAGCCCTCCTTTGTTTTCTGAGGGGAGCTGCAGCCAGCACATTTTCCTCCAGGCTCCCTTCTAGCTCAGGAGACTGATGGAGAAAAGA